GTCCAATATACAAAAAACACATATGTGGAAATTTTTATTTTTTACATATTGTTTTCTAATCTTCCACATTATTAGATCTATTTTGAATTTTAAAAATCTACCATCAGATGCTTACTCTCTACATCTGAATTAGTAAAAAATTTTACTAATTTGAATTAGTGACTCACTTTTTGCTTCTCAATTAGTAAAATTTTACTAATTATTAGTAATTTTTACTTACAGTTAGTAAAATTTAACTAATTCTAAAGCAAAAAGTGAGTCACTAATTTAAATTAGTAAACATTTTTACTAATTCAGATTTATAGAGTACTCAGCGACCCCAAAAACCCAGAGATACGAAGTTTTATAAAAAACTGATAACATTTATAAAGGTGGACCACCATATTGAATCCGCCATTTTGAATTTTGAAAACCCGACATCAAATTTATAATCAGCAACCCCAAAAACCTTCAAGTAACAAGTTTCAAGTGAATTCGACAAACTTTTATAAATTTCAAACGCCATATTGAATCTGTCATTTTGAATTTTAAAAATCTGACTTCAGATTTGTACTCAGCGACTCCAAAAACCCCCTGATACCAAGTTTTATAAAAAAAAATTAATACTTATAAATTTCAACCGCCATATTGGATCCGCCATTTTGAATTTTCAAAATCTGACATCATATTCGTTATCAGCGACCCCAAAAACTCTTTAGTAACAACTTTCAAATGAATTGGTGAATTTTTATAAATTTCGACCGCCATATTGGATCCGCCATTTTGAATTTTGAAAATCTGACATCATATTCGTAATCAGCGACCCGGAAAACCCCGAGATACCAGGTTTCATAAAAAATTATTAATTTGTACAAGATTTCCTATCACGTTTCATTTAAGGGTTGTTTTTACCCCTAAAAGCAAAAAATGACCTGATCTAGCAAAACGGCTTTCTTTTTTTTGGTCCTAGTTTCTGAAAATCATTGATTTTTTCGTGTGTGAAAAAAAAGTTGAATTTTGTCGGACGGTGAAATGTTTAAAAAATAAAGCCAATCTGAATTTTATCAAATACATAGGAAATACAATTTTTAAGGTACGACATTTCTATTTCTATTTCGATATTTTTAATATCATTAGGTAAATAAGGTAAATTAAAATATTAGTAGGGGTATGTAGTCATGAGTTTTACTATGATAGAAAAATTTTTCTAGGTATAGAAGAGCATTGTCCAAAGTTCGCAAGTGAGACAGAGATAAGATCGATTTATGGGCGTGAGACACAATTGGAGAACAATGTAAATTTTAAATGACGACAGTAATAAGAATATTAATACATTTCTTTCAAGTTATAGAAAGCATCCATCGTGCGCTTTAGCCATTAGAACTATCCTGGTAGACGATCCCATTATCTATAATGAGATTGCTGACTAAAACCTAATGGATTCCATTTTCCTTTCTTCATATACTTCGCGGGGTGATAGACAAAGTTGAGCGAAGACTTTGTAAATTTTTTAAGCATGAATGGGATTCAGTAAAAAATGTTATATTTATCTTTTTTTTATCCAGACATAATATAATAAGTAACGTAAACATTTTTACGAGATATATATACATGAATATTGTTCAACAATTCTTTTATTATAAATTTTCTCTAAAATTCAATAAACAAAGTGAAAACATAATAAAGTCACAAAACTTGAAATATTGACTTTAAATAAAAAAGAAAAGAATTTTTTTTCTTCTATATAGCAAAATATTTCTTTAGTGAAACAAATAACAGTACATTTTATATTCCCCTTGAATTTAAATTGGAGTGTACAGAATATAAATTAACTTGTTCTGAAAAAGAATGTATTCTTTTGTAATAAACAAAAGAAGATTTTTGAACCGAGACATGGAAAGAAAAAAGAGAAAAAAAGGAGAAAAATAAAGTAAAGAAAAATTAAATTGAGTAGAAATGTATAAAAAAAAAAGTTTGTATCCAATTTTTCTTTAGTAAAAGTAGAGATTCAATTGTGGACGTCAATTTCAGTCTTTGCTATAGATATTATGTATTTCAGCAATTTATCTTCAGCAAAAAATTGGATCAATTTCTTTTTATTCCTGCCTTTTAATAAGGCAAATAAAAACATTTTTATTGGGAAACAAACTAAAGTATTTATATTATTAAAAAAAGTTGTCTGTTTCTTGAACTAGACATATATTTCCTATAGTATTTTGGCCCGCTGAAACCGAATCTGTGCTCAGAATTGCTCCATCACCCTCAGTTTTTTTTTAAATCGACCAAAACCACCCTTAAATGGACAAATTCACACTTCGGAGATAAAAAATAAATCAACTTATTTTTTTAAAAAATCGAATTTTACATCTAAGAAACTTTGCTCCACTAATTCAAAAACAAAGCCAGCATTGATCCAGCACCCCCAGAATTTTTTTAATTGAAAAAACTACCCCTAATCTACAGAATCAAATTAAGGAGATAAAACAATAAAATAACTGATTGACAAATTTTATAACCAGATATTTTTACTCCAGCAATGCAGAAACAAAGCCAGAAACGCTCCCTCACCCACTAATTTTTTTTTTTAAATCGAAAAACCACCCTTAAATAGAAAAATTCAAGTTTAATAAGTAAAACAAGAAGGGGGTCCTTTATGTTTATTTCATAAACATTATGCTTCCTCATTATGTGAAGCAAAAAATTCGCTTCCTCGTGAAGGAAGCAATGAATTTGTCCAATTCAATTGATTGATTTAAAAACTTTCGAATTAAAAATGTTTTAAATTAATTAAATTTTTTGAAAAATAAAGAAAATTTTAATTAATTTTGAGTGTAACATAAACTTTATATATACGAATCGATTCGTTTTAATGCAAGGAATACAATTATTTTATTCATCAACTTGAATTTAAAAAAAACACAAAATTTTTTAGCTAAAATATGAATTTTCGATTTTTCAATTTTTATTAATTCTCAAATTTTAAATCAAATCTATACTTTATATATACCAACCAATTCGTTTCAATGCAGGGAATAAAATTATTTCATATATAAACATGAATTTAAATAAACACCTCATTTTTTAGCTAAAATGAGAATTTTTGATTTTTTAACTTTCTTTAATTCTTTAAATTTCAATCAAATCTATACTTTATATATATCAATCGATTCATCTTGACATAAAGAAGACGATTATATTATATATTACCTTAAATTTTTCGATTTAAAAATTTTTTCAATTAAAAAAAAATTTTTGGAAAAAAGACGATAAAATTTTTTTTTTGGGGTATTTTTAAAAATCCTCTCGTCATTTTTGAGAGATTAATGAGTTAAATAAGCCTACCAAATTTTATCCAAATCCATTAAAACCTGTTAAAGATATCGTGTTCACAAAAACGATCCACACACACATACACACACACACACACACACATACACACACACATACATACATCCGGACAATTGATCAGGATCTCATATAACATGTTTCTATATAGAGGAAAATTTGTTTTCACCATTTTTAAAAAGTTTATAAACGAAAGGACTACATAGCTTCCTCCACGAGGAAGCAAAAATAATAAATAACCGGCTTTTTTTAAAAACAGAACCTTACATGTTTGTAGTTTTGCTCTACTAACTCAAAAAAATAAAGCCAGCATTGATCCACCACCCTCTGAATTTTTTTAAATCGAAAAAACTACCCCTAATCTGAAGAATCAAACTTAGGAGGTAACACAATATAATTATATTGTATTACCTTCTAAGTTTGATTCTTTGGTAGTTTTTTCGATTTAAAAAAATTTTAGAGGTTGAGGGAGCTTTTCTGGCTTTGTTTCCGCATTGCTAGAGTAAAAATACCTGGTTATAAACTTTTTTAATCAGTTATTTTATTGTTTTACCTCCTAAATTTGATTCTTCAGATTAAGGGTAGTTTTTTTGATTAAAAAAATTTAGAGGGTGATGGATCAATGCTGGTTTTTTTTGAGTTAGTAGAGCAAAACTACAAACATGTAAGGTTCTGTTTTAAAAAAAAGCCGGTAATTTAATATTTTTTTACTTCTTAAATTTGAATTTTTCTATTTAAGGGTGGTTTTTCGATTTAAAAAAAAAATTAGTGGGTGAGAAAGCATTTCTGGCTTTGTTTCCGCATTGCTGGAGTAAAAATATCTGGTTATAAAATTTGTCAATCAGTTATTTTATTGTTTTATCTCCTTAATTTGATTCTTCAGATTAGGGGTAGTTTTTTCGATTTAAACAAATTCAGAGGGTGGTGGATCAATGCTGGCTTTATTTTTTTGAGTTAGTAGAGCAAAACTACATACATGTTAGGTTCTGTTTTGAAAAAAAGCCGATGAATTTAATATTTTTTTACTTCTTAAATTTGAATTTTTCTATTTAAGGGTGGTTTTTCGATTTAAAAAAAAATTTAGTGGGTGAGGGAGCATTTCTAGCTTTGTTTCTGCATTGCTGGAGTAAAAATATCTGGTTATAAAATTTGTTAATCAGTTATTTTATTGTTTTATCTCCTTAATTTGATTCTGCAGATTAGGGGTAGTTTTTCAATTAAAAAAATTCAGGGGGTGCTGGATCAATGCTGGCTTTGTTTTTGAGTTAGTGGAGCAAAGTTTCTTAGATGTAAAATTCGATTTTTTAAAAAAATAAGTTGATTTATTTCTTATCTCCGAAGTGTGAATTTGTCCATTTAAGGGTGGTTTTAGTCGATTTAAAAAAAACTGAGGGTGATGGAGCAATTCTGAGCACAGATTCGGTTTCAGCGGGCCAAAATACTATAGGAAATATATGTCTAGTTCAAGAAACAGACAACTTTTTTTTTTTGTGTGCCTGTGTTATTGAAGAAAGTGGCCGCAAATATTTTAAGTCTAATGATATCAATTTTCATTATAAGTTTAGAATTTTAAATTAAAAACCTCAACTTTTGACTATGTATCAGATAAAAAATAATAAATCATTGAAAGAGGAAGTTTTGTTTTTTTTACTGATGAAGTGATTTTTGTTCAACAGGTATCAATGGTAATGACTGTACAGAAGACGAATTTTAAAGCGAGCCTTTCGGCGAATGGCGAAGGTCAATCAAGTGTTTTATCAAGGTGTCGGGCACCAAGTGTCGGTATCGACGTGGACATGGTTTCTGAATTTGATCCATCATCATCAGACAGTGGAGTGGTATCGAGGTGTGCAGTTGTAAAACCATTAAAGATACGACTCTGCCAACCAATATTCGGTAAGAAAATGATGGGGAAACTAAAACGAGAACACGGTGATCATGGACGTCATCATGGAAAAGATATTTCTTCCATTGAGGCAAAACCAGTAAAGCCACGTGATCCAGAACGGGAAAAACGAAGACTGGCAAGGAAAAAGGAGAAGCGAGCTACCTTAATTCTTGGTCTAATCATGGGCAGTTTCATAGCCTGTTGGTTGCCATTTTTTTTCCTATATATTGTTAAGCCCCTTTTTCCCAATTTAGCCATTCCCGCTGAGGCATTTGCAATTGCCTTTTGGCTTGGCTACATGAATTCCGCGCTCAATCCAGTCATTTACACCGTCTTTAACAAGGACTTCCGAAGAGCCTTTCGAAGGATACTGTTTAAATGAGCCTATTCTGGTGTCATATTGACACCTTAAAAACCATTATAAATAAAAAAAAAAATTCAACATTTTTTCATTGGAATTCTTATATAGAATCTTGACCTTTGAAATTTTACTCAGTGCTTGCGCATGCAAAATTGCAGTGTCATCTCGTTACTCATGAAATGAGTTCTCAAACTCCCGTTAGCAATATATTTTTTTTTTCTATTTAATTTTAATGGACCAAAGAAGACTTTATCTTCATCGAGAATCTCGGATAAATAAAAATAAATTTCCCATCAAATATCAGAGTGAGCAAATTCAGAGCTGATTTCAATAATAATAATTAAAAAAAATTTCAAATTTTCATTTAAAATGCATTAAAAGATGTTTCAAAATTAATAAAATAAATTAAAATATTTACTGCATGAAAAAAGAACTAAAATTTGTTTATACATACAAATAATATATTAATATTCCTATAATAAAAATTAATTTATATTCTAATATTGAAATTCATAATCTGAGTTTTCTCATTTCGAGGTAAAAATTTGTAAAAACCGAGATTCAGTTTCCTCGCCGAAAAAAAGGGAGTGTTCTAACGAGGTGACGTGTCTTATAAAGGGAAAAATGAGAAAGAAAAAACATAAAATGCCGTCGAACGGTCTTTTGTGAAATTTACAAAATTCACATAAAGTACCTCCAGAGCAAAATATTGTTATCCGAACGAGTATTATATACATATTAAAATGAAAAGTATTAGTGTTCTCACACTTTTTACTTGTCAAACAATATTTGCAAGCACTCGAGTAAAAATTTCAAACTATAATAAAATCACACTGATATATACATAGATATATTATCAAAAAAACGCAGGTTCGTAAAAAATATAGCATATAAATAAGAGCGAAAGACGAAATCCAGAACAAACAAAATGCCGAAAGTTTTGAGACTTTTTAATTCCTATAGAACAAGTGTCGAGTATAATACTCGCAAATTCCAAAAACATCGAAATCGCTAATAATGTCCGTGTAAATAAATCATTAATAAAACTATATAGACGACATCTCTCAGTGTAAGATACAAAAAAAAATCTTGTTTAAATAATTTTTAAAATATAATATATATATATAATACATTGTGTATAGTGCCATTCAAAAGACGAACGGCTTCTTTGGAAATCTTGGAAGAAACGAAATAATTTGACAAAACAATATTTCAAGACCAATAATTATATGTACAAGATTTTGAAAAAAAAAAAAAAAATTCACATCACTTACAAAATATTAATAGTAATATAAATGGCATTAATCCCTGTTGTCAAAAATTTTCAATTAGAATTCTCTTCTAAAAATTTAGGAGTAGTCTTCCGCGCATCAAATGCATAAAAATTCATCGAAATGAAAATACAAAAAAAACTGGAGACCAATCAAATTGTGAAGCGATATATTAAATGTATAGATTTAAATATTTCCTAATTGTTAGATTTGTTTTTACATGATATACATATATAAATATATATTTATTGTTAGATTAAAAAAAGAAAACGTCAATAGTCCATTTCTAATGACTTCTATAAATTTCCGAAGGATCCTGAACGTCAAACTGTACATAAATGTAAAGAAATTTCGTCGTAAAAAACATGCGCCTGCGAGACATAATGCAGTAAGGCCCTTTTAAAAGATGTTTCACTTGAAATTTATCTTGTATACTTAATTCAGTGCATATACAGTGGAAACTCTCTATAACGAAACTCTTTATGAGATAAAACTCTCCTTAACGTAAACATCTGTTCAAATTGGTTGGTTTGTATACACTCTCTTTAACAAAGCAATCACTCACTATAACGCAAATACAATATCTCAAAACGAAAAATTTTTTCTCCTAACTTTGTTTCTTTTATTTACTTTGGTGTGCTGTTATTGCTGCCACATAGATTTTTATGGTAGGTAGATATATATATATATATATATATATATATATATATATATATATATATATAAAGTATTTGTTACTGTGAAAAATTAATTTAGTCTCTGTTTGAGTTCTCTACAAGTCGAATATGACTAATTGTGCGTGGCTTGTAAAAGAGTTTTTCTATAGACAAAAAGGTTTCAGTAATTCATACATGGCAAAGCAGAAACACTCAATCTAAAATCACAGACTATTATAAATAATTTTTTTCATGATCACAAAAATTTGTTTTTTTCTTTAATTGTGTATATTTCTTTAAAATAAAAATTTAATATAAAATATTGTTATTTTTTTGCTCACTCGATGTAACGAAAACTCCCTATAACGAAACAAATTGCCCGGTCCCTTGAAATTCGTAATAGAGAGTTTCCACTGTATATATATATATCTAACTATACACCCACCTGACTTTATGCATAAAACAAAAAACATAAATTTCTAAACGTTCTGCCCCTTTTCTTTCGCCTCTTGCTCACCCTTGTTTCTATAGGTATACTATTCAAATGAAAATAATGTCTTTATTTTCAATAAAAATTATTTTCTCTATTTTTCTTTTCATTATTATTATTATTATTATTATTAAACATTTTAATTGAAATTATTCAGGTGCTCGTCGACAATCTACTTCCCCAAAATAAATCCACTGTAATCGAAACAAAATTGATTTAGTGTATGATAACTGAGTGCATTACTGTTTTTCTATAATATTAAACGCGTCATCTCTAAAATATTTAATACAAATATTAAGCCTTTGTCGATTATTTTACATATTATTATCCACGATTAATATTTTAGCACTTATATTTCATTTTTCATTAAATTTAACGAGTTCACGATTGATTTACGCTCTGGGACACATGAAAGTGTAATGGTGCACGTGTTCAGAAATATAAAATTTCTCGTAAATGCAACCTTGTAAAAGTGACGCTATACATCAGAGAGTTGAAAAATCGAAAACTTCGTTTCACTTCACCTATAACCGAGAAGCCAAGATTTTCTCTATAAAATCGTTTCAGCGCACCTTTTAAAAAATATATATTGTCCTTTTAGTATATATATATTTCTCAATCAGATAAATCTTTGTAGAAGGAAAAAAATAGAATAAGTGGGACCAACGTCATTTGAAAAATTCTATTGCAAAATATTTATCATATTTTATCCAATTAGAACATTATTATTAAATGAATGAAAAATGTCAATCACAAAACTAATTTCCCTTCTAAAATTCATTTTGCAAAATCGCTAAAAATTATTTTATTTTTTAGTTTGTAAAATAAATTTTCATAAAATAATCCTTTTTTTCACATACACGAGAATGTTTTCTTTTATTATTGTTTTTGTAGAGAAAAAAATATCTCTCGAGTAGTAGACAGCACTGATGATTATTATTATACTGCTCGAAATTTTTTTTAAACTTTTACAAATACTTGGAAATGTTTTATTTTAAAAAGAAAACAATTTTAAACAAAAAGTAAAATATAATATTAAATTTTCGTATCAATTATATAAAAGTATTAAATATCGAGTATAAATTTAATTAATAAAATGATAATGATGTTGAAGCATTCATAAGCTCTCAGTCAGGGTATTAATAAAATTTTATATAATTTCTTATTCTTATTTAAATAAATTTACGTGATACATCGATTCTGAGAAGTAAATGAGTTCAAACATGTGGTTGATTAAATATAAACATAAATGTTTAGAGAAATATCAACCACATACTATTATTTCCAATACAAAAGAAATAATAGTATTGTCAAAATATTTAAAGGGACATTATATTCTTAATTTCTATTATTCAGTATAATGAAACGCGTGAGAACTATATCATCAGATAAGATTGTAAGCATGTAGTAGAAATTTATGAATGAAAATATGTTGATATTTATCTTTTTTTTACTTTTACAATTTTTATACTGTACTTATATATATATATATATATATTTTTTTCTTTTTTATTTTTAAGTTATTTGTCGCTTTCCAAACTAAATCAGATGAATCTCTCTAATAATTATTTAGTTTTTTAGCTTTTGTTAGTAACTTTTTAAAATTCGTTTACTTGTTTAAACAATTGATTGTTTATCGTTTCAAAGAATTTGATGCTAAAGAAAATAATAATAAAAGAATTAAATATTTTTATTTAAATATTAAAAAAACAATTAATCTGACGATATAGATTATTTAGTTTTAAAACGATTGTGGATCTTTCTTTAATGATTTCTCTCAGTTCTGAATAGAATAAAATTTACTTCTGGCTAATTTACTTATTATAAACAATGAAAATAAATACAAATACACCTCGATTTTATGATTTGATCACATACAAAATTAATTTGGGAAATATTGATTTGAGTTTTTTTTTGAAATCTATAAAAAAATGTAAAATAAATTATTTTAACAATATCACAAAACTTTACCTAACAAAACTTTTAAGGGTTAGTTTCTTCTAACTCTCATTCTTTCTTTTCTATTCTTGGCATAAAAAAATTAAACTTCAATGATACATCATAATTTAACAATGTTAAATTATAAAACTTTCATTGAACTTCAATAAATCTATCTCTGTATATCCCTACTAGATAATTAATTTGAAGAGATTAATTATATCCTAGTCTAACTAAATATTGGGTTTATCGGGATCATCTCTATAGTTTAATCTTTCAAATTGTCATGTGGATCGCCTATTGCAATACACAAGACATATAAGAATATTAAACAAGAATTACAATTTGCTCTTTTTACCACTCATGGACAATCAATAGTGTTGGTAGAGATCGTTAGAAAGTCCCTGACCATTGATTTTCCGTGGCTTGACTTTGAAGATATTGTTTATTGGTATTTTGTGATGTTTGTGAAATAATAATTTATTTAATTGTAAATTTGGAAAGTCAATTGTGTTGGTAGAAATCTTACAAAGGCCCCTGACAATAGACTTTCATTTGTCAACAATTTTTGTTACTAATTTGAAAGAGAACCAATCGTATTGGTAGAGATCGTTAGAAAGCCCCTAACAATGTGCACTTCCAAGTTCGAAAGACTCGACTTTGAAGAAAGTTTATATAACTCTGAATATTTCTTTATATTTAAAATAATATAAAAGAAAGCTCTTACCAGTATAAACTGTTCAGATTAAAAGAGACAGAAACGTGCATTTACACGGCTTATATAGTCGCGTCCCTACCCTTAATTTTCCGGGGTAAGTAAAATTCAAAATGTGCGAGTGTATGAGTAAGGAATTTTAAATTGATTGAGCAAAAATCCGCGAGTTTCCCTCACCACTTTAAGCAGGGCGCTTCTCCCATATATTTCTTACCGACAATTTCTCCCTCTATTTGGATTTTTCGCGGCGTCTATTTTTGGATAGCCAATTACATTTATATTATTATCTATGGACAGAGCTATTTTTCTCTCTCTAATTCTGTTTCTAACGCTAGCCGAGATCAGTGCCATTGTCTACCTGTCAATCATTTTCCTCTAACTGATTTTTATTTTTTTAAATCTTTAATTTCTCAAAAAATAATAATCCTAAAATTATTTAACTTTTACCATTAATTTTTAATAATTTTTACTTTAATATAACATATAATTCTATTTAATTATTATTAATTTTAGCAATAAAATAAAATAATTCTTATTATTTTAATTGATGAATATTTAAAAAACATATAAAATAAAATTTATTCTTTAAATAATAATCTATAAAAATTCTTTATTATATAAAAAAATATTTAAATTAAATTAATAATTATCTTTATTCGAATTTATATATACCTTCTCTTTCTATTATTTTTCCTGTTTACATTTTTCATTGTGTTATCTCTAGCTATCTTCTCTCTCTCTCTTTCTATTATTATCAGAAATTCAATTTATCTAGTGTTAATTTCGTTTCTTAATATAATTTTATTTTTAATATTTATTAATTTATAACTTTCAAATAATTTATAATTACTTTATAATTAAATTTTTGACCATTGAAATACCATTTCACACTGATGATTATTATTATACTGCTTGAAATATTTTTTAAACTTTTACAAATACTTGGAAATGTTTTATTTTAAAAAGAAAAAAATTTTAAACAAAAAGTAAAATGAAATATTAAATTTTCGCATCAATTATATAAAAGTATTAAATATCGAGTATAAATTTAATTAATAAAATAATAATGATGTTTGAGGGTAAAAAGAAAGAAAGGAATTGTAGAGAATGAGTGCACGCACTGGGACTTATTTGAGTATATAGACGAGTGTCAGTTTACATAGGGTTTACCGATGTACGCATTTCAACATACTGCATGCAATCCCACGACTGCGATAAATCGATAAACATTCCCATATTCCTGTCTGTATCTCTTACTCTCTCTCACTCTATCGTGCTCTTTCCATATAGTAGTGAGCGGCTTTATGACCAGGTCGTAGCCTCATGGCAGACGAAGCCAATATGGAATTCGCTGATAAGACAATAGCTTTCACTCGACGGATTATATTAGCACCAGCGTGAGATCGATAGCACACAAGCGTATACATTTTAAGTTAAACCCATTTCAAAACAAAATCAATCTCACACTTTCAAATCCTGAACGTTTCTCCCAACCCCCTTCAATGAAGTGAAAAAACCTCCAAACAATATACTATTTTAAATGTATCAAAAATTTTACAATTTTAATTTAATTTTTTTTTGAACAATTCTTTTAAAATTTATTCTTTCAAATTTTTATTTCTAGCAAATTTTCATTTAACATCATTTTCATTCGACTCAATTTCTATTGAAATATATTTTCATTTTAACTGAATTTTCATTAAACTGAATTTTTATTTAATTAAATTTAAAAGAAAAATTTTAATTTAATAATATTTTAAATTTAACATGGATGCTGAAGTACAGAACTTTTATGATCAACG